AGAGGTTAGTATGAGGATTAAGCATGATAGTCCATGTTAGGCACATAACAGAGGATGTAGCAGTACATAGTAAACAATAAGTGTGAGCTGATATGAATCATTGTCTTTATTTCAGTTGTAGATGTATTGTTGAAAACTAGGTCTGAGCCCTGGCCGGTTTGGCTCAGCGGTTAGAGCGTCGGCCTGCGGTCCAGAGAGACCCGGGTTCAGTTCCCGCTAAGGGCACGTACTTCGGTTGCAGTTTGTCCCCGGCCCTGGTTGGTTGTGCGGTGGCAGCCACTCGATGTGTCCCTTTCACATCGATGTTTCTCTCTCTCTATCTCTTCCTCTCTCTCCCTCCCACTCTATCTGTACAAAAAAAAAAAAAAAAGAAAAGAAAACTAGGTCTGATATCATCCTCCTCATCTAATGATCTCCCTGGAAGGATAGCAGGATTAAAATACTTGAGGTACCTCCCTCCCCTTTATCTGAAGCATTAGGGTTTCCATCTGAGATCAGTAGGTAAGCATCAAGCGGGCCAGGTTTCTTAGTCCTGCTTTCACCTGACACTTCCTCCAATATTTCAAGAGTAAATTCAGTGGGTCACAATATATACTTCATCTCTGGGGAAGAGGTTAAGTACCAACCACAGAGTCAGTTCAGGCCATGGGGTCCTTTTTTTAGTTTATTTCAACTGCATCATGGCTTAGAGGAATCTTTCTTTACCCCCAGTGGTGTCTCTCTCTCTCTCTCTCTCTCTCTCTCTATATATATATATATATATATATATATATATATATATATTAATTTTTGATACAGATGTTTCTCCTTTTTCCCCCAGACACCCCCTCTCTACTCCCCCACCCCACCAGCATTGTGGTCTACGTCCATTGGTTACGCATACATGCATATAAGTTCTTTGGTTTATCTCATCCCTCCCCCGCCCGCCCCCCTCCACTGAGGTTTGTCTGAACCCTACTCCTTTCTATGTCTCTGGGTCTAGTTTGTTCATCAGTGTTTTCTGTTCATTATATTTCACAAATAAGTGAGATCATGTGGTATTTGTCTTTCTCTAATTGGCTTATTTCACTTAGCATAATACTCTCCAGGTCATCCATGTCGTCTCAAAGGATAAGAGATCTTTCTTTCTTATAGCTGCATAGTACTCCATTGTGTATATGTACCACAGCTTTTTTATTCTACTCATCCATTGATGGACACCTGGGCTGTTTCCAGATCTTAGTGGTCTCTCTTAAGACTCCAGGGCTATTTACCTACCCAGCTTCAAAATCTATCTCCCTCCTGGGCAGGTGAGGTGCTTCTCAATGCCTCTCCCTCGCTGCCTGCTGACATATTCACAGATTTCCCTTGGGAGAGTAAAGCCCCAGTGATTGAGTGCAGGTAACTTTCTTGTAAGTGCAACCTTTAACATGAGATCTACTCTCTTAACAAACTTTAAGTGCTCTTACAACAAATAAGGGGGTGGTACAAATAAATTTTTGGGCCCTGGCCGGTTTGGCTCAGCGGTTAGAGCGTCGGCCTGTGGTCCGGAGAGACCCGGGTTCGGTTCCCGCTAAGGGCACGTACCTTGGTTGCAGTTTGTCCCCGGCCCTGGTTGGGTCGTGTGGGTGGCAACCACTCGATGTGTCGCTTTCACGTCGATGTTTCTCTCTCTCTCTCTCCCACTCACTCTATCTGAACAAAATATCGAAAAATGTCCTCGGGTGAGGACAAAAAAAAAAAAAAAAAAAATTTTTGGAAGTGATGGATATGCTTATTACCTTGACTGTGGTGATGGTTTCACGGGTGTATGCATATATGAAATGCATCAAATTGTATAAATTAAATATGTTCACTTTTTATATATCAATTAAAACTGATTTTAACTTAGTAACCCTTCTAATTCCAGGTATCTAAGTGCCCAGACTGGGACAGGATTAGCTCCTTCAGTCTGGCCTTCCATCCAGGAAATGGTCAATACCAGTCAGAAAAAGTCCTACTGGTTGATAAACACCTTCCAACCTTCACTAATTTTACCAGCAGAGGGCACACAGCAGACACGCAGTCTCTATTGAATTATCAATCTTGTGTCTTGTGTCCAGAGTTGTCCTCACAGTGTAGAGGTGTTTATATTCCACCGTAGTTCTTCACATAGTTAAAAAGTTCTTGCTAGTTTTAGACAAATGGCCTAAGACACTTGATATGACTGGAAGGAACAGTTTTATTTCTCTAGGAAAGAATCTGCCTCACCAGGCTGGGGTTTTATAGTTATTCAGACTACTAGTTTTGAAGCTGTGGCTCAGGAAAGGTAATTTCTTTTTTTAATTTTTAAATAATTTATTGGTTTGGGGGGCAGGGAGGATGGAGGGAGGCAGAGAAAGAGAGAGACCTGGCAACACGTTAGAATCAACTACGAACTTTTTCTTGCTGTTGTTAATCCTCACCCGAGAATAGCTTTCTGTTGATTTTTAGATGGAGTTTGAAGGGAGGGAGGGAGTAAGAGAGAGAGAAACATCAATGTGAGAGAGACACATCGATTGGTTGCCTCCCACAGGACCCCTCAGTGTTGGGGATCAAACCTGCAACCCAGATATGTGCCCTTGACTGGGAATCAAACCCAAGACTCTTTAGTCCACTGGCCGACTGCTGAGCCAAACCGGTCAGGGCAACTATGGACATTTTATTTATTTATTTATTTATTTATTTATTTATTTATTTATTTATCTATCTATTCATTTATTTATTTATTTGTTTTTGGTACGTGCCCCTAGCAGGAACTGAACCTGGGACTCTCTGGTTCGCAGGCCGACACTCCAACCGCTGAGCCAAACTAGCCAGGGCACTATGGACATTTTAAACATACAAAATCCTGGGCCCTGCCCCCAGATCTAGTATCTAGTAGATCAGAGTGTTCAGGGCTGGTGCCCCAGAAATCTGTACTTTAACAAGTTGCCAACTGATTTCATGATGTTGGCTGTGAACCAGCATTTGGGAACCATTTATCTAAGGGAATCTTTGGGACCCCTATCTCAACCTTGCTGCCCCAGCACCAGCCCTTAAGGGCATTGACAGTCAAGGAGGCTTGGAGTCAAAACAAGATTTGAAACCAGTGTAGTCTAGGCTAGCCCTTCCAGAGAGAGCAAGTTCCCTCCTGGTGAGGGGATGAGGGATAGTGGGTGGAGGGAAGTCTCTATAAGGTAAGGCAGCAACTCTGTCCCCTCAGGTATTACAGGACAGTAACTGGTCTCTTTCTGCATCTACCACTCAAAGTTTTAGGAGAAGCTGAGTCCTTGCTATCTAGGGGGCTCTCAGCACATCCCCACACCCTCCATCCTCACCCCACACACACTCAGGATGAGCTGCAATCAACTTCATTGGGGGTGGGCCTCTCCAGCTGTTCTGGGCTGGGTATCCCTCCCAGGCACTGCTCTAGGTGGTGCTCAGAACAACATCTGGTCTTGGGCTCACTGACTGAAGGATCTTGCTAAGATAGTCCTCAGCTGCACTGAGCGTGGCCAGATCAAGTCCTCAGTCTGAACTTGGGGGCCTGAACAAATGCCCAGGTGGTAGAGGAGGAGGAGTTCTGGGGGGTGACAATGACAATATCCTATAGCCCCTAAGGCTGAGCAGCAGTCTGGCTGGCTGTATGATTCCCAGCTATTGTCCAAGGAAAGGACATTTTAGGGACTCCTTTGGCCCAGAGCTGACACCTCTGACAGCCGCTTGGACTATCCTAGTCCTGGATATTGAATGGCCTGCTCACCAAACCCCCATGGACCAGGGGGACTGGCTAGAGTTAAGCTGAAATCCTTTAAAGGGTCCTGCAACTTGGAACTAGCTGGAAAGACAATATGATATCATACATAGAACCTAGACTTGTAGTAAGACGGATCTCTCAGTGCATACATATTCTTATCTGTAAAATGGAAATCATCATCCCTACCTAATAGGGTTGAAGGAGCATTAAATGAGCTACTGAAAGAATGTAACAGAGTCTGGCATATAATAGGCATTCAAATGTTAGTAAACATTTATCCAGGTCCTGTCTTCTGTATCACCAGTGAAGACTCAAGGGTACAGGTCTGGAAAGGGAAGAAAAGCTGTAGAGAAGAGTTTTGGGCCATCTTGGATCATTTCAGAGACGTAGCGAGGCTGAATGAGGAGCCTGGAAGCACCCTGTTTCCCTTGAATGCTCCTGCTCCTCACCACTCTCATGGCATCAAGGGTGTCATGCTTCTCTGGCCTCAGCAGTCCCCTTCTTCTGGGTGTGCCCTGGATACAGCCCATTCCCAAGTCCTCTTGCTCAATTTGGGGGAGGCCTGAGTACCATTGGAACACCCTGCTGGTACCAGCAGGAAGTTCTGGGGCTGGGGGAGTTGGTGGAGTCCAGAGATTCTCAGGATTCCTAGGGCCACAGTGGGGAGCCCCAGGACTTCTTAGCTGTTCCCAGGCACCTGAGGAAGAGTAATGCCATACTGCAGGAGAGGACAGGTTCAAGCAGGTGAGGCACAAAGGATAGAGGCAGGTAGGATTGGTGGGTGCCAGCTATTCACAGCAAAATTACCAGAGCTTTGGCAGGACCAAAGGTGAAAATCTGGGCGAAGTTTTCAGTCTATTTTTAAGCGGGGTGGGGGGTGGGGGGGACAGCCAGAATTTCTTCTAAACTTTGGGAAATGAGTACGAGACTAGCCTCCTCTTGACATCCAGGGAACCTAGAAAATACTGATGAGTCAACCTCTTTCAAGTCTTCTCTATCCTGACGCCTGCATTGGCACTCTAGAAACCATATCTGGCCGGTATCCTATGCCCTCTGGGTGTTTCTGCCCACTGATGACACGGAATGAGACAATGAATTATTCCTGAAGAAGTGACTCAGACAATGAGATCTTCAGGTAGCCTAGAAGGCTAATAGGGAGTATGCCTTGGCACAGGCATATTATTCTAGCAGGGCAAGCTGCCTCTTCTACTTATCACAATCAGAAATCTCTTCTCAGAGGAAAGCAAGACATGAAGACATGTGATAATCTATATAAATTTTATTTTAATATCAATTTGTATGGAAACAAGCAGATGTCAGTGCTATGCAGGCACGGAAAAAAGGGAAAGAAAAAAACTGGTGATAGCCGATCTTGATTTACACCATTTGGTTTCAACAGGGACAGGAAGTTTTACTGTTAGCTTCCTGTGGGAATTCCAGTTTCTGCACCTTCCCCTGCTGCCTCTCAGCATCACGATAGAGCAGCGATTTCTGTGCCTTCAATCGGCAAGCCAGGCACATGAAAATTGATTCCACATTCTGGCTCTCTTTGGGGTCTTTGGCCGATGTCTCAAACAAAAGCATGTTGTGGGCATCGGCAAATTTCAGGGCTAAGTTGGAGGGCACCTGGATCTGTTCTCTCAAGTCACACTTGTTGCCCACAAGCACTTTCGGTACTAGTGGGGGTACGGCATGCCCATTGCATTCTCGGATCCACATTTTGAGGTTGGTGAAGGATGTCATCTTGGTGACGTCATAGACAAAGACCACTGCATGCACATTGCGGTAGTAATGTTCCACCATGCTTTTGCGGAAGCGTTCCTGACCTGCTGTGTCCCATACCTGAACCTGGAAGATATAAAAACGAACGTTTGGAGTCAGGAAAAGAAACATTAATAGAGAAAAGAAAACATGGTTTTGTGACATTATAAAACTGAGGTGATAAGCCCTGACACAGGAAGTGGTTCTTTCACAGATTGGCAGAATGAACTTATAAAAGTATAGACAGAAGTTCCTTTCAGGATTTATAAAGCTTTTCTTAAGATTTTTAGTTGAAAATCTTAAGGTTTTTAGTTGAAAAAATGGGATGTACATTGGTCAACTTTTCTAAGAGCAATTTGGCAATATTTTCAAGAACCTTAAAAATGTTCAAACCTTTTTGAGCCTATAATCTCACATCCAGAAATCTTTAGAGAAGAAATAGCAGAGATGTGGTCAAAATTCTGTGCAAGGATATTAATCACCATGTTATTTATACTTTTTTAAAAACAGGAAACAACCTAAATGCTCAGTAGGAGAGGAATAGCTAAAGTTTCTGTATATATCTATACAGTGGGTTATTATGCAGCCATCAAAATGTTTTCAAAGAATAAATGGTGGAGAAAATGTGCACAAAATATAAGTAAAAGCAGAATATGAAATTTTTATAAGCTATGGTCCCAATTAAAAAAAAATTAAACATAGTCATATGCATAGGAAAGACTGGAAGTGTATACACTGGAACATTAATGATTATTTAAGGGCAGTGGAACTATAGGTAGTATTCATTTCGTTTTTCTTTGTTTTGTATTTTCCAAATTTTCCACTGTAAGCATTCATCACTTTGTTTTGGATTGTTTTTGTTTTTGTGTTTGATAACTTTTTAAAGAAAACAAAGTTAATGTTTAAATCTCACCTTTTACCTCATTTTATTTTAAGTTCATTTCTTTGTTACATAAAGGGTAATTTAGCTCACTGAATTGTTCTTCTGCATATCAGGTTTTGGGATAAAGGGCAAATTATGAAGGAAAATGCTAATATAAATAACATATACAAAGACACAACTCCCAACAAACACTCTGAAGTCAACACACATTCAGCCCAATCTATTTCCCTTTTTACATCCAAAATCTTGGACAAGAAAAATTCATACTCAGAATGATGGTCCCAATACAATGATGCAATTCTCAGTTATCAATGAAAATGTGATTATGGCCACTACTCGACTACTATGGCTCTTAAAACGAAGTATAGCCTTTATTTGGAGTTATCAGTTAGTCAGTATAATCTAGTAAATATAATTGAATCTCCTTGCTGAGTGAAGATCTTAACAGGGCCCCAGAGTCATCATTCTTTTTTATTGTAGTAATTTTTAAATGTATTTTTATTGCCCTGGCCGGTTTGGCTTAGAAGTTAGAGCATCGGCCTGTGGACCAAAGAGTCGTGGGTTCGATTTTGGTCAAGGGCACAAAACTCCGTTGTGGTTCAGTTCCCCAGCCCTGGTTGGGGTCATGCAGGAAGCAACCACTCAATGTGTCTCTCTCACATCAATGTTTCTCTCTCTCTCTCTCTCTCTCTCTCTCTTTCTCTCTCTCTTCTCTCTCTCCCTCTCCCACCCACTCTACAGATAAATGGAAAAAAAAAATATATATATATATATATCCTCGAATGAGGATTAAAATATGTTTTTATTGATTTTTTTAGAGAGAAAAGAAGGGAGAAAGCGATAGAAACATCCATGTGCAAGAGAAACATCAATCAGCTGCCTCCTGCACAACCCCCACTGGGGATCGAGCCTACAACCTGGGCATGTGCCCTGACCGGGAATCAAACCTGAACCTCTCAGTCCATGGGACAATGCTCTATCTACTGAGCCACACGGGCTAGGCCAGAGTCATCATTCTAAACATCAATTTTCATTGTCTGATCCCCCCTTCATTCCCTCTATGGACATGGCCACCACGAGCCTTTGGCACGACCTTCAGATTCACCCAGTCCTGTATTTCAGTTTTCACGTCCCTAGGGCAGACCCTCCTCTCCTCACTTCTGGACTACAGTGAAGTCTTTTGGATTCTAGATGTCTCTACTCCAGTGCTTCCTGCATACTGCTTTCAAACTAGCCTTCCTAAGCCCCTGCTTTTATGTGCATATCATCCATCTCATCAGGAAATTATGTTAGCCCTCTTCTGCATGTGGCACCAAATGGAAAGTTTTGTCTGCCACAACTTTGACTTCACCCAACCTCATTTCAAACTACTCTTCTACACCTGGTTCATTCCCTCCTCTATACCTTTGGTCCTGCTAGTTCACCCTTCTGCTATAGACTCTGTTGCCCCCTCATTACCCTACCCAGATCTCACCCATTCTTCAAGGCTGGGTTCATGCCTTCACCTTCTTCCTAAAACCTTCTCCAACTTCTCTTCAATGATCTTTTCTTAGGCATTTCTATTGCACTTTGAGTCCATACCATACCATTTAGAATATATTTATTTGTTCTCTAGTTGCTCCTGGCATCTCTCCAGCTAAACTCTATGCCATCTTTTTCTGCATCCGATCACTCATCATTATAGTTGTCATGGATATTGTCATCATTATCAAAAAACAGTATTGGCCTGAGCTACCGAAACTACAAGCAGTTTGGCATCCTATATATCTGCCAAGGCCATTTCAGAGAGAACATTCAACTTTGGCTATGCAGAAAAGCATAAGTCCTTGAAGACTGATTTTCTTTGGCAAGCAGAGCCAGAAAAGATTTTAATTTCATCCACCACTCTGGTGCTCTGAGCAAGAAGAAAGAGAGAGCAAGTCAGGAAAGGAATGGAGGTCAGTGGGAAGAGAGCAGGCATAACACAAGAACATCCTGATCTCTACCCTGACCAGTTTGGTTCAGCGGTTAGAGCGTAGCGTCTCGGGTTTGATTCCTGGTCAAGGGCATGTACCTGGGTGGCAAGTTCGATCCCTGGCCTCAGTCAGGGTTGTGCAGGAGGCAAATGATCGATGTGTCTCTCTCACATTGATGTCTCTCTCTCTCACTTCCCTCCCTTCCACTCTGTTGAAACATCAATGGAAAAATATCCTCCAGTGAGGATTAACAAAAAAAAAAAAAAGAATATCAATATCCTGATCTCCAACCACCCCCAACCCTCACCCCCGCCAACCCCAGTAGTCATAACTCTTGCCTCTGAGTAAGGCTGTATCCCTACCAGCCCTCAGGCATGTGGCAGATGCTTTAACACCATGAGATGAGCTCAGGACTCTAAAAATACCTGCCACTATCAAGAACACGGGTGGGAGTGTGTGAGGTGTTTGGGGCTGAATAAATGGGCCGTTTGACTTTTCTTTGACTTCAAAATTGTGTATACCACACAAGCTGCCAGAGCTGTAGGGAGGGCCCTCTCTGCTGGAGAGCAACTTTGCCTTTCTAATGCCATGGGGAGCCTTGAAGCTTTTATGTGGAGGCTCAGAATTTAAACTTGAGGCACTGCTCCCATATTAGCTCTTTATAAACCCCACTCCAAATTCTTCACACCCCTGTTTGTGGTGAGAAGTGAGCCAGGAAGCAGGTTGCTCATAGCAGAAAATCAGAAGAGCCATCACAAAGGAAGAGCACAGCAGTGAGGCTCACTGGACACACAAACGACCTCATTTTTATTTGGAGGTTTGATATCCCTATTCTTCTCAGCATCCTTATAAGTCCTTGGCCCCTGCCAGACAGTGAAAGCATCTCCTTCCCCTATTGCAGCTGGCACTCCAGTCATTCATCCTTCATCCACAAGGTAGCCTGGGGGTGACAACTGCCCTTTAGCCACATACATCAGATCCTCTTTTCTCTCCAAGGGCCAGTGGGGAGCAGTGGAGTCAAACCAACTTGGGTGCAAATCTCAGCCCAATCACGCACTAAGGCAAGTATCTTACTCTATCTTCAGTGTCCTCCCCTGGAAACTGAGGATAACCTCAGCAATCTTGTAGTAATGCTGTGAGGACTAGCATTCCTTGTAAGTACATGGCACAGTATCTAATAGACACTCTCCCTTTCTCCCTGGCCCAAAACCTCCACCGTCAAGTTGGGCCCAACAAGAAATTGAGCGAGCACTGTGGAAATGCAGCAGTAGTTTTGGAATGGGGAGACCTGGCTTCTAGCTCCTTTACTTAGTAGCTAAGTAAATGACTAGGCAAATAAAATAACACATGAAAAAGAACTTTTGCAGAACATAAAGTGTTCTGCAAATGTTGGTTGTTACCATTGTCTCAGAAGGCCCATCAGCCCTGCCCTGGTGGCACTGTTCCTTGGACCCATCGGTTCTCATTCTGGAAATCACAGAAAGCTTGGCTTCGTGATGATGATATAGAGCCAAGGCAAAGGCAGTCAGTGGGGAGGTAGAGGAGAGAGAAATGCCAGCAACCTGCCATAAGTGACTGGGGGCAGGCCCAAAGTGACAGGGATGCTGGAGGAGGGTTGAGGGGCATAGCATGGAGAGCTACCAAAGATGAATCTAGCCTTTTAAACCGTTTTCCTGGGGCTACTACTGCTTGAGAAAGCTTCAGCAAGTCCCCCACTCCCTGTACATAATCAGAGCTAACAGGGGTATTTCTTTTCCCTAGGGAACATATCTGGCATATTTCTATAGATGAAGCATGAATGTCCTTTTGCTGGAGGCCACTTGAGGAGAGTAGACGTGGAAAAAGGGAGAAAAATACATCTGTAACCTTTGGAGGATGCCCGAGTGGATAACAGGAAAAATTTAAAACAAATCTTTTTCTTAACTAGCTGAACTGCCCCCATCTGCATCTAAGATACACAGACAAGGCTGACCCAGAGATTGGCAAAGGAGGACAGAGACAAAGAGAAACTAATGCACAGAAAGCGAGGAAGCAAGGCAGACAGAGAAACACACATTGATGGATAATTAACCATTAAGCTAACTGGCAGAAGACGGAAGCTCAGAAGCCCTAAGGAAGACATGATGTCATTCTGACTGCAGGCAGTTTCTGAGGGAACATTTATCTCAGCCATCATCCACTCGGTAATGTAATATAGAAAGGTGTTTTTCTAAGTAATCAGCAGAGGAAGAGATATCCATAGTCCTGGTTGGCACCTGCCCACAGCCATGGCTGACCTGCAGTTTGCCTGGTCCAGAGGGCTAGGGCTGAGGGGGTGCCCAGCCCCTGTAAGGAACCAAACTAGGCAGGAGAAGAATTTGCAAAGAATGGCTCCAAAATTAGTTCTGAGTCTCCCCTCTAATACCTCCTTCATCCCACCCCTTCATACACTCCGTTTTGACATTTTCTAATACTTTTAGTGTGAGACAGGTTCAGTATGACTTGGCTAAACCTATAGGAGATAGACCCATAACGGTCATTATGGGAAGCTCCACCTTTTCATTGGAACTTGGGGCATGCCTCTACCAAGGCTGATGTCAGGAAGGACTGTCATCTTTCACATATGATGTGTCTCTGCATCCCTGTCATAGATAACTGCATGGATTGCATGGACCATGGGACAGGCCCAGAGCAGGCATTTATAAGGAAAGAGCACCAGAAAGGAAATTAAGAGACCTGAGTTGTAGTCCTGGCCCTGTGTGATCTTAGGCATGAAACTTTCCCTCTCTGAGCCTCAGTTTCCTACCTATAAAATGTGGATGTTGGTTTAGAGATTTTCTAAGGTCTCTTCCATTTCTGAACATTCTCTGATTCTTATGCCTAACATGAGCCAGTCAAGATGCAAAAAGTAAAACCTAGGTACTCAGCTCAGTGTCTGGGGTGCAATTGAAGGAGACAACTTGAAGCATTTTGGGTCCTGGGACTACAACCCTGAACCCCTGGCCTAGAAGAAACTGCCAGGCTGGCTGCCAGGTGTGCCATTTCCCCCTGTGCACTCTCCCCCCAGGCCAGATAATGCCCCCTAGAGTAGAGTCCAGTGGTAGAGAGCATGGGCTCTGAATCTAGGTGGAAATATCGGCCCTGTCACAGGAAGGCAGGATAATGAGATGGTGACATGCTTAGTTAGGCTCAAGGGTCAAAGACTGAAGTTTAGATCCATATGCCTTTGGGTGAGTTATTTAATCGCTCTAACTTTGATCTCCTTATCTACAAACAGGAATGATAATAATAGTCCTAATTTCATAGGGTTGCTGTGAAGATCAAATATGATAGTGTATGTAGAGTGTCCAGTCTGGGCTCTTTGTTTATTTAAAAAAAGCAGGAATTCTTCCTCTCCTCCTCCTTTTCCTCCCCCTCCCTTTTCTTCTCCTTCTTCTCCTTCTTATCGTTATTATTATTATTATTATTATTATTACTATTATAATTATAATTTACTCATTGGATGCTTTTCTTGATGCTCATGTTAACTAGGAATCACTGGATTATAAATGTTGTGTTGGGGAGGGTGTTAAAACACATTGACTGGAGACACCAAATTGGGTTTCAAAGGATGGCCCTAGTATTAAAAGAGTAGTCTCAAGTATGTTGAATCAGTCATCCTCCTACAGGGATTGACGAACATGGTACCCTGGAGCATAAGGAGGCAGCCCAGTAGAAGCCACACCCTACTCTTGGTCTGAGAGAAGAGCTCACTGAGCCCTCTTTCCCACTCTCCTATAAGAGCTGGCATTTTATAATCTAACAGCTGGCTATGATCTAGGGCCACCTCAGCCTGGCACACAGGACTTTTCTCTCTCCCCCAAAGGGAAAAACCTTTGGCAGTCACTTGTTCCTAGAGAAACTCCAGGCCAGTTGGAGAGTGGGGCCAAATCTGTCGAGATCATGTGCTCACTGCCATACTCTGCTATCTTCCCATGGACATGCTGGTCTTTGCCTGCTGGTTTGGCCCTGAGGTTGCAGCAGCTTTACAAGAGGCAGGGTCACCATCTCCCCACTCCCACCCCCTACCCTGAGACCCTTCAGAATCTGCCCTCAGAGAGCTTCTTCATGTCACAAGTGTCACAAAGTTTTGCCCTCTTAAAATATCTTTCCCTAAAAAGCCTGTATTGAGCACTTGGCATGTGGTGTCCTGCTCAGCTCTGTTTCTAGTGAGTCACACTATCACAGGCTCTGCCCCCTGGGAAAAAGTCCAGAATCTTTGGCAGAGACTCTAAAATCCAGTTTGGCTAAGTACTGGGCTATTGTAAGAGAAGGAATCTTTTAAAAATTTCCTCAAGGGCATTGGGTGGTGACCCTCTTCCACTAGCTTTCACCTCCCACTTTCCACTTTCTAGTTTCCTCTTCCCTTCTCCTTCCTCCCCCCCCCCCCCCGACTCCCAAACACTTCCTTTTTCCTCAGTGTAAATTTCAGGCAGACTTATTCCTCCTCTCTTAAATCCAAAGAGCTGTTTGGCTCAATGTGACACTTGATTTTAAACAGGCAATACCATTACTTTTTTTTTTAATCCTCACCAGAGGACATTTTTTCCATTTTTTTGTTCAGGTAGAGTGGGAGGGAGGGAGAGGAAGAGAGAGAGAAAGAGAAACATCGATGTGAAAGGGACACATCGAGTGGCTGCCACCCGCACGACCAACCAGGGCCAGAGACAAACTGCAACCGAGGTACGTGCCCTTAGTGGGAACCGAACCCGGGTCTCTCGTGGGACCGCAGGCCGATGCTCCAACCGCTGAGCCAAACCGGCCAGGGCAATACCATTACTTTTTAAGGGTCCTACGGGTTTAAGAGCATATCCATAGGTTTATTTCTACTTTGGATTGTTAGGGCATGCTTTAGAAATTCCAGAATCCTACAACTTTGCATTAAAGAAGCTATACACACTAGAGAAAGTCCTAACCAAGCATCAGTCAACATAAAGCCCTGGGAAAGAAGAAAGACAGATACCCACTTTGACTTTGAAAAGGAAATATAACAATTCCCCCCAAAATGCAAGGGGTGAAAAAGATCACTATTTCAAAAGAGTGCCCTATATTCCTGACCCTGGGGCTCAGTTGTTCTTCACAGCTCTCCCTTACCAGTACTGAGCTGCCTATCTTCCTGACACATCTAGCATCTTGGCCAGGTATCTGAAGCCATTTTAAAACATGTTCATTTTAATAACCAAGGAGTCAAGAGTCTTGCAGAGTTTACAGTGTTTCCCCATTCTCCCCAGTTACTAAGCCCTTCTCTCCACATCACTCTGAAGAAGGGCCTTGTGGTCACTGGGGCTCTTTGACCAGCAGGAGGAAGGCTTACCTTTACCTGACAGGGTCCAACCATCAGCTCAAGAAAAGGCCAGCTGGGGGTCTAGAGGAGTTGGTCTTTAGTGTACAGTGTCTTCCTACCCATAGCCCTGCTTCTCTCTGCTCTCCTGACACATGAAGCTGCCACTGTCATGTCCTCCCTCCCACTAGCCTCTGCACATTGAAATATTCCTATCCTGTTGAGTTTCCACCTTTGCTGAACCAAAAGTGAGTACAAATGGTCATACAAGAATATCTGTACCTAACCTACTTCATAAACTAATGAGAAGGGAGGATCACACTACCTTTGGCCCTTATAAGTTGCTCTGCATTTTTACAAAGGCCTGCTGAAAACAATACCAACAGAATAAGTAATGGCAAATAACAACAAATAAAGAAGATATCATTTGAGGAGGACAGCTCCAAAAGAACAAGTTTTGTCTATTAGGAAGGGCTGGCAGGTGACCCTGTCTCGTTTATTTAAAAGGGTTCATGACTTTGTGTCAGAAGTACCCCACTCTACCCCTATTCCATTTCAGCCCTAATATTAACCATAAACTATAATTTTCTATGGATTTCCATCCTTTCCTCCCCTCTAATGCATTAACCAAAGTGGGTTTTTGCAGCCTATTGCCACACAAGAGGTAGAAGAGACCTCAAGATATGTAAAGTGCTTTGGGATCCACCCCACAGACCAGGACGGTTCCCTCCTACCTCCCTCTGCCCACAGGTGCCACTGCTCCTGGCTCAGGATCAAGGATGGGATCACACATGCTTTTCCTGGCAGAGCTGTCAGCCAGCGGCAGAGGGCATGAATGCACCCACTCGGGCCTGCCCTATAAAACCAGTGAGGTTGGAACCAGACCACTGAGAGAGGCGAAGGGGGATGAGGAGATACCAAGGGTCTGGGGCTCAGCAAGCAGTGACACAGCCACGCACCCGAGGCTTCACAACCACAACCACTAGAACAATGTTTCAGGCGAGGCCCCCGCCCAGAGCCCAGATCCCACCCTTCCTGGACCTGACCGTCTGGATCACCTTGATCTTCTCGCCCTCGATTTCCACAGTCTTCTCCCTGAAGTCCACGCCGATGGTGGCCTCAGTCTTGTCCGGGAAAGTCCCGCCGCAGAAGCGGAAGGTCAAGCAGGTCTTGCCCACGTTGGAGTCCCCAATCACGATGATTTTGAAGATGCGAACCTGCACGTACTGGTCCAGGGACGAGTCAAGCTCCAGGGATGCCAGGCCAGCGGCTGAGGCAGGTTGCAGGCTCCCATGGCCCAGGATGGGCTGCGCCATCTCCCCAGGACCGGACCAGACTGAGGCCCCAACCCCCCTCGAGGGCTCCACACAAAGAAAACGGGCACGTTAGTGCACTCGAGGCGAGCGAGCTTTGTGAGTGTATGTGTGCGTGTCCGTGAGTGTGTCCGCGAGTGTGTGCGTGCCCGCGCATGCGCGCACGCGCAGGGGATGCCTCTCACCTCAGGTCCCCCTCCTCCTCCTCCAGCTCACCCTCCTCGCAGCTCCCAGGCACCGACACAAAAGCCAGGCAGGGAAGGGAGAAGTAGAAGAGAGACAGTAAGCCTCGAGCCTTCTCTTTCTGCCTGTGCCCCTCAGATGGGACGCTTGGGCTTGGCGGGGGGGAGGGGGGGGCTAGCCGCCTCTGCGCCTTGGCCTAGGACCCTCCCTTGCCTAATCCCCAGGGATACACCACGGGGAGGAAGCCATCCGAGGAAAGGAGGGGTGGGGAGAGCAGCACACACCACTCTGGGAAGGTCTTCCTTTCTCTTGGCCCCCATTTATTTTATAGGGCTCGGGCTCCCCACCCCCACTTTCTTGGAGCGTTGGGGGGTAGTCAGTGGGCCAGGAATACAGCCAGAGAGGACAAAGAGCTGCACCCTAAAGCATCTCTGGAGCACTTTAGCCTCCGAGCAACATTACTCAGAGGGAGTGGACTGCAGAGCGGAGACACCTCTTTCACCTCCGGAGCATTGGCAGCTGAGCTGCGCCTCCGTGGGTCCCTCCCACGCCTTGGGATAAAGGGATGCTCTTATTGAGAAAGCAGATGCACTCTCGAGCCCCGAGGAGCCTGGGAGGGCGCTGCCAAGACAAGCCATGGGCCATGGAGGCCTGCGCTGCTGAGAGGAAGGAACCAGGGAACACTGGTGTGTGTGTGTAGGGGGAGTTACTGTTTCTGTCACAGACTGGCCAGAAGTAGAGGGGCGCCATGCCAGGGCCATCCTTCCCTCATCACACCACAGCACTCATCCTCTGAATGTTCGGAGAGCGGCTCCCATTGGCTGCTGCAGTCAGTTGTGTTTGGCTGGCTAGTGGGGAAGTCAAGCCCTGGGAGGCCACACAGCGGGTAGAGGAAGGGGGGAAGCTAGTGGTGGGAGCCCCAGCAAAAGGGGACTTTGTTTCTGGGGCTAACCATTCCAGGCCCAGGTGGAAGGATCTTGGAACAAGGCAAAAACCTCACAGTGTCTTGCATTCCTGAGCCCTCCATATAATCATAAGCCTTTCCAGAATGGTGGAGTTTCAAAAGGAATTGGAAACCCATAGGAGGGTTCACCCCTCTGCAACCGAATGCAGAAAAAAAGGTTGGATCTAACTTGCCAGAAGCCTAGACTGTGCTTGGAAGATGAAAAATGAACAGAACTTTCTTACAGTATTAGGAGGCAGCTTCTCAAAGCTTATTAAACATCATACATCTTGGTCAAGACCAATATTCCCTCTCCTGAAAATGATTTGCAGGTTCAGAATTTGACATAACTTTACTGAGGTATAATTTACATAAAATAAAGTGTACCCCTTTTGCATTTGCTTTTATTTTTTTTTTATTTTTTATTTTATCCTCACCCGAGGATATTTTTCCATTTTTTGTTCAGATAGAGTGGGAGGGAGAGAGAGAAACATTGACGTGAAAGGGACACATCGAGTGGCTGCCACCCACACGACCAACCAGGGCCGGGGACAAACTGCAACCGAGGTACGTACGTGCCCTTAGCGGGAACCGAACCCGGGTCTCTCAGGACCGCAGGCCAACGCTCTAACCGCTGAGCCAAACTGGCCAGGGCTGCATTTGCTTTTAATACTTTATCCATCCTCCCACATATTTCATAAGAGTAATATTGACATATGCCAATAGCACCCACATATGAGCTGTTTGCTATGTCATCAAGGTCAGGGATTCCAGCAGCACACGTGAGCTGCCATCTTATTTGTATGTAAGGCTGAGCTGCACAAGACACAAACATGACTAAACCCATCCCCAATATGAGAAAAATAATTCAGTGCATCAGTAAACAAGTTGGAATACAACTGCTTAGCCAAGTCCGGGTTACACAAAATGGCTGGGAAGATGGGGTCTTCTAGTTAATAAGCTTTTTAGCTGAGTTAGCAGATATATTTATAGCTAACTTTTTATCCTCATCTGAGGACATTTTTGCATTTATTTTCAGATAGAGCGGGAGGGAGGGAGGAAGAGAGAGAGAGAAACATCGATGTGAGAGAGACACATCGACTGGTTGCCACCCACACGACTGCAACAGAGGCCGGGGACAAACTGCAACCAAGGTATGTGCCCTTAGTGGGAACTGAACCTGGGACTCTCCGGTCCACAGGCCAACGCTCTAACCACTGAGAAAACCAGCCAGGGCTATAGCTAACTCATTTAGTATATATGTGGGTCACCCATTTCTAAAACCCTAGATCAGGGGTGGAGAACATCTGGCTCACAAAATCATTTGTTCTGGCCCTGCCAAGGCAACCACAGGTAGGACTCGAAAATTCAATAAATCTAGGAGCTTTTTTCATAGCAACATAAATTTATATTAAGTGAATCATAGTAATAATGTAAATTTTGAGGGACAAGCAAGGAACATCCATTATGGGATAGACAGGACACATACAAGTACATGATGGGACAGACACATATACTTCTCGTAGGCTGCAGTGCCAGGCAGGCTGGGCATGTACACATTGTGCAAGGGTTAAGACACTGTGGTGAAACTACAGCAATCGGGTGATGATGAGATGAGATGTGATGAAATGATTCCTCGAGATGTTGATGACCTTGCCTCTGACGATTGACAGTGATGTTGTCCACTTCGTTGTTGACTTCTTTGTTGACACAGATGATAACTCCAATCCAACCTTTATCCATATGTCTATGACCAATAATCCTCACAAAAATTTAATCTCACATGATTAAGGAAATTACAGTACACAGAAAAGACCTCAAGAGTCAATGATACAAACATTGGATATGTTCCAAATCTAAAATGCAGAAATAGAACAGCAATCAAAGCAAAATAATCGCATTGCTGATGACAAAGACTGGTTATTAAAACTTATGTGGTGTGACATCCTAAAAATGGCGACTACGAAGAAAAATTGATGCAGAGTGTTGATCTTTACAAGAAAATAGACAAATGATTATTTTTTTGTTCAAGTCAATGGCAAACTTGCCCTGGCCGGTTTTACTCAGTGGTTAGAGCATCAGTCCACAGACCAGAGAGGCCCGGGTTTGGTTCCCGTTAAGGGCACGTACCTTGGTTGCAGTTTGTCCCCAGCCCCGGTTAGGGTTGTGTGGGTGGCAACCAGTTGATGTGTCTGTCTCACATCGATGTTTTTCTCTTCCCCCTTCTCCCCCTCCTACTCTATCTGAAGATAAATGCAAAAAAAAAAAATGTCCTCAGGTGAGGATAAAAAAAAAGGCAAACCTGTGTGCCTAGTTTGCAGTGATGCATTAGCAATAACGAAAAAAAGCCAATCTGGAACATCATTACAGTTCAAAACAAGCTAAACACAATGAATTGCGAGGCCAAACATGTCTGGATAAAATCAATGCTCTTCAGTGGAGTTTGGGATCACAACAAGCCACTTTCACTAGGTCTCGTTGTGACAGAGACAACGTTATTCAGACGAGTTATGTAGTAGTGAGCAAGCTAATCACAAAGAAGCTGAGGCCTCATGTAGAGGGAAGTTTGTGAAAGAGTGCATGGTGGCTGCTGCAGAGTTGTTAGCACCAAAGTAAAATGGTTTCAGAGTGTTTGGGAGAACCATCTCAGGTCGGATTACTGATTTAGCACAAGATATTGAAAAAACACTGACGGATTCTGTAGATTTCTAATTTTTCTCTCTGGCTTATGACAAGACAACAGACCTAACAATTACTGCCCAACTGGCTGTTTTCATTCATGGTATAACAGCAGAGTTTGACATGCAAGGGAAACCACTGTCACTGGAAGCCATGCATGGCACTACAAGAGGTGAGGAGTAGTTCTATCAATGAAAAAACTGGAGCTAATATTTGAAAAGTTAAGTGGCCTTTCTACAGATGGAGCTCCAGCCATGGTTGGCTTGCAAAAAGGGTTAATTGCATTTGTCAAGAAAGAACTGAATTGTCTCAGTCTTGATCCAAGTGATTTAATTATATGCCATTGCATCATATACCAAGAAATTCTCTGTGCACAGTCATTGTGTCTCAACAATGTGATATCAACAGTACTGTCATGCATAAATTATCAAAAGAAGAGGGTTTAACAGCTGCCAGTTTAAGGAGTTACTGAACGAACTCGACTCTGAGTATGGTGATCTTGTTTATCATTGTGAAGTGCAATGGCTGAGTCACAGGAACATGCTCATGAGGTTTTACAAACTTTGGGATGAAGTCAAGCAGTTCACAGAGATGAAGAGAAAACCTGTCAGGGAACTCAATGATGGCTGCATGATTTAGCGTTCATGGTGGACATTACCAAGTACCTCTCAGAGCTGAAAGTCAAGCTGCAGGGCCCCATCCAGCGTCTCAGCTTCCTGATTTCAAACGTGAAATCATTTGAAGCTAAATTAAGGCTGTGGAAAGTGCAACACGAAAGAAATAACAAGGTGCATTTCCCCACTCTGGAATGACAAAAGCCTTCTACGACACTTGCATATGCTGGTGAATGTGCAAAACTAATGGAGGCATTTAATGGAAGATTTAAGGATGTGAAATGTAAACAAATGGAATTGAACATCTTTGCTACACTGTTCAATGTGGAACCAGCTGATGTGCCTGATAACCTACAGCATGAAATCATTCAACTGCAAAGCGATGATGATCTGAAGCCTAGGTACAGCAACTTCCCACTGCTTGAGTTCTATAAACATTACATAAGCAATGATAAATTTCTCACTTTGAGGAGATATGCATTGACATACACATCTGTGTTCAGAAAAACTTACTGCTGCAAGCAGTTCTTTTCAAAAGTTACCATCGCAGAGTCGACTGCACTCCAGACTGACCAATGGAAACCTGGAAAAGCAGTCCCGAGTAGTAACATCATCAATACCAGCTAACATCACACACTTCACCAGAGAAGCATTCTAGCTATCACATTAAGGGTGAGTTAATTAAATATTTGACCAAATATAGCAGGCTTTTTTTTTTTCTTTATTGATTTTAGAAAGAGAGAGGAAGGGAGAGGGAGAAAGAGACAGAAACATCGATGAAAGACAACATGGATTGGCCGACTCCTGCGTACCCCCCATTGAGGATTGGGCCCACAACCTGTGCATGTGCCCTGACCGGGAATCGAACCGGCGACCTCTTGGTGCATGGGTCGACGCTCAACCACTGAGCCACACAGGCTGGGCCATTTTGGTGATTTTAAAAATATATTTTTTTATTGACTTTGAAGAGAG